GTAAAACGAGAGACCCTATTCTTATTATGTGGTGACGATGGGGTGGGGTCATCAGATTTCATTACCATGTCCTTAAGCATTCCCCCACCAAGAATTTCCTTGTAATAGAAATAACTATTTCATGGAACGGGAGTGTGTTTATCAGTTTACCTATTGTTCTTCTTCCTGAGTTTAAGTGCTGTTGTTCATGAGAAGCCTCCCTCATCTTTACACGCTGAAGTGACAGTTTTCTACTCCCTGCCCTGCTCAGCAGTGGCAGGAAGAAACACAAAGAGGGGAAAGGATATGACCCCTGCAGAAAAAAAATGCCCTTTGATTTAGGTTTTGGTATTCCCTGGGCTGAGCTTGTAACAGATTTGGTTCAGTGTGGTAGCTTCACCCAAGAGAGATCGTGGTTCCCCACTCGAGGAGGATGTATCATAAGTGGTTTCAGTCTCGATCAGGAAGCACCACAGGCTGGCTGATCTGGGGCCAGCTGTTTGGACACATTACCTCAACATGTGCACTGGGCTTTAACAAAGCAGTATTTAAGCATATTTCAGACATAAAAGAGAATCGTGTGATAGCCTTTCTGATCAGATCATTTACATAGTTGTTTTCTTTGACAGACTCAGTTTTAGCACCAATGCCTTGATTTGACAGCCAGGCCAATGGGATGAGTCGTTACCTGTCTTTGTACTCTCACATGTGGACCGACACCTATTGTCCTGGTGTGAATTGGGGTGGAACTGTTTGGGTAGAGATTTGAAAACAGAGTTGTAGATGGATGACAAGTTGTGTCTGAGTTCACCGCCCCCATTTAGAGAGTGGTGATCTATTTGGACAAAAATTGCTTCTTTGACTCCTCTCTCAAAGCAGTGGTGCTCTCTGGAGAGGATCTGGACGTCACTGTCTTCACAGATACCAGACCCTAATGACTCAGTCATTAGAGGATGTTGTTGGCCATTGAAGGACTGAAACCCTACCCAGTGGGATAAATACCTCCTGCTCACCACTAGTCAGGTAGAACTGATGAAGCCTCTTGGATGAGAGGTGAAATGTCTTCCACCTAAAACTACAGATGGTAAATGGTCTTATACTTGTATAGTGCTTTTTTACACTTTACAGCACACTCAAAGTGCTTTTACACTACTTGGCCATTCACACTCCGGTGACATCACCAGGAGCAACTGGGGGTTCAGTGTCTTGCTCAAGGACACTTTGACACATTGACTGGACAAGCCAGGAATTGAACTGCTAATTCTCTGGTTAGGAAACAACCCACTCTACCTCCTGAGCCATAGCCGCCCCCAATGCCTTCTTCTAAGTTTTTGCATACTATGACCCAGTTGACTGAGAATTTGAAAGGACACAAAGCCCAGTTACTGCTACTCACAGGTGAAAACGTGTTGACTATGATCTTATGTAGATCAAAAGCTTCCATGACACTGTTTCAAAAATCCATTGTATAATTCTAAAACTGCACAGTGGTCAGTGTCATTGATAAAGCTGTTACTCGATACATTCCTAAAAAGCTGACATTTGGAGGACAGAGTTTCCACCTGACGCCAGTGTTTTCCTCCTGCCTCTGTCTTTTTGTCCTTAGGCCTCCAATAGCTGAGTAGAAACATTAAGCCAATCTGCAGCACTAGCATGAGGATGTGTGTACACCTACCACAAGGCCGTCTGATGGACATGCTGTATTCTGCTACTGATAATTACTCTTTGTCCAGCTTATATTCACTCCTCTAATTTAGAGCTTTAATTCTAAGAGTCCTGATTGCCTCCATGTGTTCAATTGTCTGGAGCTGAGCAAAAAACGTGTGACATTGTCTGCTCGTATGATTCTGCATATTAACTACAGCCACATAATCACAGTCCATCATTCCTTTTTGGTTCCATATAAAGATGTGTAGCTCACTGCCAGCCCCCTTCCCCACCAGTTCATGCAACTGCCTTTTCTCCCTGTCTCATTTTTTTGCACTTCATTAAATTCTTTCAATTTACCAGTCTGCATCTCTCTATTAACCAACTTGGGTGCTTTCCCACATTTGCATTTCCTTAGTTGCCATTTTTTAGTGAGGTTCATTTTGAACAAAAAGAACAATTCAACATTATAAATTGCAGAGGGTGTTTTGCAAAACAATGAAATGCCATTTTTTTTCTCCCTTTGTTTATCCACAAACTTCTAAGTCCAAGGTTGATGTGATACCTAATTGAATTGCTTCCTCTAGAGTTGCCACTCCTGCCAATATTATAAATACAGATGGAGTAGTTTTATCACTGTGTTGCTTTCTGATGTTCTTCCTTTAGGTCCTTCTCAATTTACTTGTCAGAAAGCTTGTGATGGGATTCACAACTAAGACAGGCTATAATAGGCTTGTGAAATGAGCAGTCTTGGAAAACTTCAGGTAATGTGTTGCATTTTTCTTTGGCATGTAAAAAAGATTGAAACTGTACTGCAGCACGAACACAAAACAGTCACTTTTACATTTAAATGATCTATTATGTATAGTAACAGTATGCTAAATCTGGATTATACAGTATTTGTTCACTATAATAGCAGTAAGTGCATAGTTTAACAGAAAGAATTTGTTCTTTTATATGATAGTTTTGGGGTAGGTTGCTAAGTGTCTGCAGATTTCAATTGTAGACAAAATCAGCTAATTTTAGTAGTCAGATTGCTACATACAGTATATGCATGTCATCGACTTTCAAACTGTTCTTTTTGAGAACAGATCATTGACTGCTGCTTAATGCTGTTGGCTGCTACAGTATAATAATAATAATAATCACCTTTATTTGGCCAAGCATATTGCACATACATACAAGGAATTTATTTCCGGTACAGAACCGAGGCAGCCACCCGCAGTGCCAACACCAACAGCTCTAACCATCGGGGGCAACTGGGGGGTGTCTTGCCCAAGGACACCTCGACATGTGGACTGCCGGCACTGTGATTCAAACCACCAACCCTCCGGTTGGAGACGACCGCTCTACCCACTGAACCACAGTTGCGCATGATAATCCTGTAAGATAATGATGATTGTATCTACCTCGGTGTACCAGTAAGCTGGTATCAGACTCATATCCTTATATATCTTCAGTATTTTGCTTTGTACATTTTGAAATAAAATTTTAAAACTAAATTTTCCTAGAAATAAGCATACATGGTTATTAAAGCTGAATTGTGCCACTGTCAACTATGCTTTTAATAGTCGACGGCGATTCACTGGCCAAAAGAAGACACCACAGGATTAGATCATACTGCACTGAGTGTTGCTTGCAGTGATTCAAAGTCACTTTGCAATGTGAGCTGGACCTGTTCTCCAGGAAAATGATGTTTGCAATGGGATGATGAATTCTGGCAGGCAAGAAAGTAAAACCCATGGGTGACCCCTTGTTAAGACTACAGTGCTTTATGATGATGGCAATCCACTTTGTGGTAGAATCATTGGAGGTGAAGGTCATCTAAAAGGGATTGTTCTCATAATTTTTTTTAAACTTGTTTCTTTTCCTAGTTTATTTCATCACGTTAGCTGCGTCAAACATTTGTCTGTTTCTCTTTGATACAATCTGTAGTCTCACTGGTCAGTTAATTGCAGTATATTGATACAAGCATGCCACTGTAGCTAATATGATTCCTTAGCCATTTTAATATGTGGGATTTTGCTCTCCCAATAAAAAATGACATTTGAGCCACTGTGCAGAGTCCTCTCTAATGGGGTCTGTGATAAGAATGGTAATATGCATTGGAGCTGGCAGAGGCACAGGCCATGTTTTTGTTTATAAATAGCTCCAGCCAGCATTATTCCACTTGCAGTTGTCTCATAATCATCAATCACTCCTGCGTGCAGGCCGGCTTCTCCTGCTAACCAGAGAGAAGGTGCGCTGTGAGTGCCCCTTACACCTTCAAATGTGCAAGTACATAAAGTACAGAGTGGTGAGTGGGAGAGCTGGGAGTCGTGGAGAAGTCAGTCACTCCATCACCTGTGCTGTGATGGAGTGAGTTATGGCTGTTTCGCCACAGCTGTTTGAAATCCTCCTCCTCCTTTAGGTCATTACATACAGTTTTAGTTTTTCAGCACAATTAGATATACATATTCACATATGCTCCCTCTGCATCCTTGATCAGAAGCTGGTGGAAGCTAATCATGTGACTGGAGGATGTGGGACGACACTCATTTGCTGAGGTTTTATTTGTCTCTGCCTCTCTATCTGTCATTACCTTTTTCTCTGGAGGAGCTCACAGCTTTGAGGACAATGCTGGAGGAAGATCCCAGAGAGATAATGAAGGCCATTTTGTACTCTCACACCCATGTACAGATGTACTCTAATAATCCCTCAACGCCCACAATGTGTTTTAGTCCATATGTTTATAGATGCATGTAAGAGCACATGCACACAGTGTATCTCTCTCAAGTGATCCTTGTTCCAACTGTGTGCAGTACATGCATACACAAACGCACGCACGCACACACACACACACACACACACACACACACACACCACACACACAAATATCTTTGTGTTACCAACGCAGTTGCAAAAATACAGTGGGAATCCAAATGATCCTTAACAAAATGGTTATATAACTATCGCAGCGTTAAGTCTTATATCTTATCAAAGCCTACCCCTGTTTTCTTTCAGCCTTGCTTTGCTGTTTTTCAACAGCTCTTCACATCTACTGTACCTCCCACAAGACACCACTGAACACATGAAGGACATTTGCAATTGACGGTAAGCAGCTGTTTGAACAAAAAAGGAAGACAGAGGCTTCTTCCACTGCAGTTGTAATCAACAATATCTTCCTGTTAGGGCAACAAGAAAGTGAAATCTCATCACTTTCAAATCTTAATCAAAATCTCCATGCTGCAAAAGGAATTTTCCACTTAGTTGAATGCAGCCTATGTGAGAAGCACACCCACCTGGCACCCACATTCTCTCCCTGCCTCAGTCTCTTTCTCTCCCTGTGCCTCGCTAATCTCCCCCAATATGTGGAAGTTGATTTTGAACCTCACCTCCCGGAGTTCCTTGGCCACATCCTTGAGCTCTTTGAGAATGCCTTCTAGCTGGTCAATCACCATCTTCATGTGGCTGCGGATACGTTCTCTCGGGCTGGGGGTCTCAGAGGTGTCCTGGGCCGGAGCTCTGCTGAGGGACATCCTTCACAGGGTGATGTGGGGCCAGTGGCCAACAGGCTGAGGGCGTGGGGGAGCCGAGTCGGGGTCCATGTCTTTGGCTACAAGGAGCCGCAGTGCTACTGATCCGAACAGGGGCCCCGGCCACGCAGGGAGACCTCAACATCTTAAAAGCACCTGGGCAGCCAAAACACCTTGCCTCGCCCGCTCAATCGGCACAGAGTCACACTCTGACATCCATGCCTTCTGGTAGATGCTTCCAAAAATGAGGAGGAAATGAGCAAATGCAGTAAATCCATAAAAAACGAAGAGGCAAAATACACAGGCTAAAGCTGGTATGAAACTCTTACATAATCACGTTGAGCCAGCTCATTTCATGTGTCACTGTGTATGTTTGAAACTGTTCCAGAGGAGCTGCTATTTAAAACGCCTGCCTATACAGGCATGGGACTTTTCCCTTCGTTCACTTGTCCTGTACAGTCTTTTTCACTTGGGAAACACAGTGACATAAAGACCAACATACAAAAGTGAAAGCAGTACTCTTTTACAGAGTAAGCTATATAACATAAATAGAAAAATAGAATTCCCAGCAGTGGCTCAATTTTCAAAATTATTTTGTTCTACATTACTGGAGACCGGTGGGGATAAGACTTGCCTTCAAAATATAGTCTCTCATACAGGCCTACTGTCTTTAATGAGGGAAAGGACAGCTCCTGTTTTAGAAGGGGATATTCCTCTGTGCAGTGTGTTGTTTCTTCTCCAGTAAAAATAAAATTCTCAAAAGAAACTCACATCAAAATAAACTTTGATTTTCCATTTTCTTTACAGGTGATGACTTGTCCATGAAATGCAGCAAAGTAGGTGTGAGTCTTTGCACAGTGTATCCAGTCTACCCGCAAAATCAGGGCTTATTCCAGGTGGTGTGAGATCACAACGAACTGATTTCTAAGCCAGCAAAACTTAATGATGGTGATGAGAATTTGTGGAGAAAAAAAACAATCATGGTGTTGATGAGACACAGTTACAAGGGGGCTGGAAGGCAAACAAGTACCTACCCCTGTGAATTTGGGTGGCAGCTTGTCTTATGCAGCAGCACTCTCCACGTCTTCTCACAAAACACTGACCCACAGCTGTCCACAGGGGTGTGCCCAAAAACCAAGGGAGCAGAAAGAGAAAAGGGATTCTCTTCTTTCCTTCAGTTGTTGCTAGGGGAACCTGGTCTGCCTCCTTGTGCTGTGATTTGATAATTATTTTACTTGTTATCCATGTAGTGTAGGTTTTCTCAGTGGACCCTTTTCAGAGAGGCAGGGAGGTACGTGCCACCCCGCAGGACAAGATAAATCCCATGAAAGCTTCCCAGAGGAGCCCCAGAGAATGAGCAGCTTCTGGCCAAATCCAGGGTGATGCCACAGCCATGGGGTGCACTGGCCAATCACACATGGCACCTGGACAGATGGGAAGGAAAGCAATCACTTATTCTCTAATGTCTAGTTCCCCTCTCCTTTCTATCCCTGCCTCTCTCTCTAGAGCAGCATGGAAAGCAACAATAGTTTGATTGAAGGAGACTCGACGATAGGCAGGAATGAACTGCATTTTAGCTGCTGTTGAAATTAAGCTCTTGTTTCAGGAGCACTTGCCTCACCTCCATACACACACACACACATGAATGAACACACACCTACTCACCTTTCCTGTGCTTCACTTTGCTGTTGCTATGCCCAAAGCTTACGTTCCATGCACAGCAGGATCATTCAAGCTACACACAACCTCCTGATTCTTTAGCACTCCCTCTGTCGCACATCTTCTGTTCTCGCTGCCTTGCTGTTTTCTCTTCCTCTCTTTCTGTCTCTGTCTCACACTCAGACACACACACTCTCCCTCTCTCTTCCTCATACACACACAGTTCTTTCCCTCCCTCCCCTACTTACTGTCTTGACAGAGAGAGAAGCTTCTCTCAGCAGGGTTATTTCACTCTGAGACTGTGGCTCATCAGAGGAGGAGTAGAAGTGGAGGATGAAGCTGTGGAGGAGGAGGAGGCAGGAGGCATGAGGTGGGAACAATGAATGGCCCTGATAGCACTTGGAGAAGGGAGAGAGAAGAATGAAGATGACTAAGAATCAGAGCAGCGAGGAGAGCTCCTGCTTCGAATTGTGATACAGCCACGGCGGATACCATCACTCAGACAACTGCGCTTCCGAAGCCACACCAGCCGTCATCCCCTGTCAGCATTCACCTGCATCAGGAAGCAGGAGACAGAGTGGCTGAGCTACTGCTGTGAAAAAGGAGCTGTGTGATTCTTATGACAAGCCTCTTCCTCTATATCTGCCTGGTTTTATCTCTCTCTCCTCCCTTTCTGTCACTCTTTCTCTTTCTCCAACCCCATCTCTCTGCCCCTGTGCCCTCACTGTGTCCTCGCTGACTGCCGGATGAAGGGAAGCTGATGCCAGAGTTTATCATGGGGGTCAGGCTCCTACCAGCCCCACTCGGCTGTTCTGCTCGGCTCTGTGGAGGAGGAGCTTTGTGTTTTAAAGGCACAGTGCCTCCTCTCCTTACTTCTCCTCTCTGCTGGTGTCTACACTCCCTCACTATCTCCTCTCATGCTACCTATCTAGGTTTTGTCACAGTTGTATCAGGGGTGTTATCGCTCTCTTAAATCAAATTGATGTCTTCCTCTGCCACCAGCCAAGCAAGTCTCTAGGGACGGAGTGTCCCACAATCCTGGGCTGTTACACTGTTAATATACAAAGCAGGTTGGTGTTTGATGACCTCATCTGACTGAGAGACAGAAATAGTGAGGGCGGGTGAACATGACTTTTTCTCTACCTCGTCTTCTTCATCAGGATTTTTTTTTTTCAACACGAGACACAGCCCTGTATAACCCCGCCAGACGCAGTTACCCTAATATAAAATTAGTTTTCTAAAGGGGATAATGTAACAGTAAATCAAATTCATAATGACAACTTCTTGAGTAATGCATTCCATTTACCAGAAGGTTTTGGCAGATGACTCTAGTGAACAGCCAGAGGCTCTATGCATTCCTTAGCATAATTGTAAAGAGCAATGCAAAGTGGAATCGGTTTAGGTGGAGCTTTCATGGAGATAAATTTGTTCTGGGGTCCTCTGTGGTTTCTACTATTAGGATCTCAGTTATTTATGCCGATGCTGTAAAGTTAATTGGGGTAATATTCTGTAGCATATAAAATTTTCTTTTGCATGTTTTTTGATTAATAACTGGTTGACCCTGGCTTTTACAAAATATAATAAAGAAATGCTTCATATTATATGCAGTCCTTCCCTACTGGAAGTATGCAGTTTCTTTATGTCATGTTAGGGCTTAATCAAATTATGAATATGTCATCGCATTCTAAAGTACGTTGCAATTCTATGTGAAGTTTGAGAAGTGTGATGGGATCCTGTTCCATTCCTTGCATTTATACATGGCTGACGAAGTGTTGCAATGGAAAGATGCTTCTCGCAAACTGTTCCCTGAAAGAAACAGGTGTCCTTGAACATGTTTTCTTTGTAGCTTCACTACTCAGTCTCTCCGTGAATATGGGAGGCTCCTCTCTTAGAACTCAGCTTCCAGCACATTTTTGCAATAGTTCTCTTTTTCGTTAACATTGCAAAATACCTTTTTGCTTGGATAGTCTAGGTGTATTTCATAGAGCTGTCCATATAAGAGAGAATGTATACTAAGTGACCTCTCAGTGGAAAGGCCCAGGTGCTCAGCACAGATAGCTCCCCATCAGTGATGCCTTCATTGCAAGGGAATTGGATTATTTTTTCATGTAAAATATTTTTTTAATGCTTAAGGCATCTGGATTCATGAGTTTTACTCAGAATATGGAGTGGGTCCAGCAAAATATTGGTTCCACTTAATATTTTTGCCATGGATTTATTGTACTGGTACTATGCCGTTTAGGGAGACGTTTAAGAGAAACAGATTTTTTTCTAGTTGAGCATTGGCTTATGATGCATAAACACACCACTACTCAAAGGCATATGCACACACCCACAAACACACACAAACACACAATGGCTAGGCATTCCTATCCAGAGAAAATAATATTGGTAATTTGGTACCACAGGAATAACAGCCCAGTCAAATGTACAATAGCTGCATTGGTCCACAGTGTAAAATGCAGTAATGCCACAATAATGGCTGTAAAATTGTAACTTGTCAATGTTTTTTCTATAAAGTGCCATAGTAGTGAGTCGTAAAACCAAGAACTGAGTCACCATTTTTGCACTTCCAGTTCCCTTGCCCTGAAGTCGATGAGTCGATCGGTTTTGGGTTAGATGCCTAAAATAAGGTCTATGGTTAACTCAAGGCCAATATGTTTTTACATTTTGTTCTTTAAAATAAAATACATCAGTAATAGCCCACTTGTGATTTTTAATGCTTTTACATGTCTATTAAGTAGCTGAGACGACATCCTCACGCCCAACACAGAGACTCATTTACTCACTAGTCTGCCTTTACAGCTTTGCTATTTTTAAATTCCCACACTTATAAACTATTCTATTTAACTGACACATCCATGATCACTAGCTAGATCATGTTACACTAAGAGAGAAGGATTTTCTAGAAGAGGAAAATGCTATAAATCAAATTACAAGTTAGAAGCCCCAGTAATGACACTGAAGTCATGGGGCCCAACACTAGCTTTTTTACTTCCGGCAATCGCATTTGGCCTTCAAAATTCATAAAAGTGGTGTTTGCTCGTTAATATTATCTTGCTGAAGAAAACATGTAAGTATCATAACCTGTTGTTTGTCAGAGAGCTTATTTTCCACAATATTCCAAAAGCCTATGGAAAAATCCCATTCGCTTTTTTGTTGAGGGAACCAAGGCAATGCTAACTTCCGGGTTGGCCACTAAAGATAATTCATCTCTATGGCACTCATTTGCAGCCCAAGTGTCCTGTTTTGTGTTCTTCTTCTTGGTGTTTTATGGTGGTTGGGAAACAAAGAAATGGTGCATTACCACCACCAACTGGACTGGAGTGTGGATCGGGAAGGTAACATTAAGTATTTTGAACTGTAGAAAGTTAAAAACACAGTGGTGGTTTGAGTGGATGGATGGATCCATCAAACGCCTGACTTTCACACAGACAGCTGAAGCTTGTGTCCTGTGTCTGATGATGTGCAGTCCTGAATTTTTTATTAGAGAGTGTTAAAACCAAGCCCAGGGTCTTTTCCTAACCTTATACATTTCATTCCAGTGCCTAAACTTAACAATTTTCTTTTGTTTTTTGCTGCCAGAGAAACTTTTCCATGTCAAAATTTTTGATTCAGAAAATGTGGCAACATCATAATTTTGAAGGTGTAATGTGAGACTATTGTACATTTTGCTGTGAGACTGGGCTGGGAATAAAGGTCAGGAGCTGTTTTGATATGCATTGTTTTGCTCCCAGTAAGCTATCTTAGCGTTACATATTCACCATATCAACTGTCATGTGCAGGTAGCTGTTTTTCTGTTTCCAGTCTTTATGCTAAGCTAAGCTGATGGGGTACATTGACTTTTTATATACAAAAACATGACAGTGGTATCAGTCTTCTCATGTAACACTTCATGTTCACATTTTTATTCACATTTTTCCATGGTATCATTTTTAAAATGATTGTTCAAATTTACAATAAATGTACTTTTTTTGCATATGAGGAACTTATTTGCTGCTTTGTCTGTGTGTGGACATGTTTTCCATACTGTATGTGGGACACATAGATTTGATTTGATTTGATTTGATTTGATTTATTCTTTCAAGCATGTAAAACCAGTTGATATGACAACACATAATTTGACACATAATCCAATATCAATTTTCTTATACCTAGTACATGCTTGAACGGAGTAGGAAGAAGTCAGACTTATCCAGTCCTACCCCATGACATCATCTTACCATCATTGGTTTGCAAGCAGTAAATGATTCACTTCTACCCACACAAGTATTATACTAAAAAAAGATTATAACAGTGTTAACATTCTTACATCACACAAGTAATATACTAAAGAATTATTACATAGTGTTAACATTCATACACCACACCCACAATGTTCCATCTAATTAATCATTAAGCCTGTTCTTGCATATATCTTGATTGACACATACCTTTATATTTATGTTTAAACTCGTCAATTCTATTACTATTTTTTATGTCTACACTTAAATTATTCCATAGTTTTACCCCACTTATGGAAATACAAAATCTTTTTTTGGTTGTACGTATAGCGAGAAAGGAAACAGTTGTTTCCCAAAATACTGACCTATTCCTATAACTATAATTGTTATCACAAGTGTTTACACCTACAGGCCTAAATATAGACAATAAGACCAAAAACCAATTTTGATTAAAGGGCATAGAGATATGAGATACCATGATATGAGCTTTATTGTATGTAGGCATATGCATTAGAAAAGTAACTTTGCATTTCAGTGTGAGGGATCTGTATTGGACTGTTTTCCATTC